GGGCCCCTCCGGCCCTCACTCTCATTCCCGGTCCCTCCTTGGGCCCCTCCGGCCCTCACTCTCATTCCCGGTCACTCCTTGGGCCCCTCCGGCCCTCACTCTCATTCCCGGTCACCCTTGGGCCCCCTCCGGCCCTCACTCTCATTCCCGGTCACTCCTTGGGCCCCTCCGGCCCTCACTCTCATTCCCGGTCACTCCTTGGGCCCCTCCGGCCCTCACTCTCATTCCCGGTCACTCCTTGGGCCCCTCCGGCCCTCACTCTCATTCCCGGTCACTCCTTGGGCCCCTCCGGCCCTCACTCTCATTCCCGGTCACTCCTTGGGCCCCTCCGGCCCTCACTCTCATTCCCGGTCACTCCTTGGGCCCCTCCGGCCCTCACTCTCATTCCCGGTCACTCCTTGGGCCCCTCCGGCCCTCACTCTCATTCCCGGTCACTCCTTGGGCCCCTCCGGCCCTCACTCTCATTCCCGGTCACTCCTTGGGCCCCTCCGGCCCTCACTCTCATTCCCGGTCACTCCTTGGGCCCCTCCGGCCCTCACTCTCATTCCCGGTCACTCCTTGGGCCCCTCCGGCCCTCACTCTCATTCCCGGTCACTCCTTGGGCCCCGCCACCCGTGGGAGAGGAGGGGTGAGCACAGCTCCCGGCTCCCACGGCTCCCAGGCCCACAGCAGACAGGAGCGGTCAGTGCCGAGTGGCGCCGTGGTGATCATGATGGTACCTGAACCCGCGGAGCTGCCTCCTGACCGCGGGGAGGGAGCCAGGGGCTGCCCTGCCCGGGCCCCTGCCTCCATCTCCAAACGGGGTGCTGAGCACACGACAGCGATGAGGACGCTGGGCCCACCTCACGGGGGAATCTGAACACACCGTGCTTAACCAGGCCGTGGCGCGGGCACCGGCGTCACTGTCAGCACGAGCCCTGGAGTCACTCCTTGGGCCCCTCCGGCCCTCACTCTCGCTCCCGGTCCCTCCTTGGGCCCCTCCGGCCCTCACTCTCGCTCCCGGTCACTCCTTGGGCCCCTCCGGCCCTCACTCTCGCTCCCGGTCCCTCCTTGGGCCCCTCCGGCCCTCACTCTCATTCCCGGTCACTCCTTGGGCCCCTCCGGCCCTCACTCTCGCTCCCGGTCCCTCCTTGGGCCCCTCCGGCCCTCACTCTCGCTCCCGGTCACTCCTTGGGCCCCTCCGGCCCTCACTCTCGCTCCCGGTCCCTCCTTGGGCCCCTCCGGCCCTCACTCTCATTCCCGGTCACTCCTTGGGCCCCTCCGGCCCTCACTCTCGCTCCCGGTCCCTCCTTGGGCCCCTCCGGCCCTCACTCTCATTCCCGGTCCCTCCTTGGGGCCCCTCTGGCCCTCACTCTCATTCCCATTGCACCTGCAGCCATAGCTTGTTTTTCGGGCCACGGAGCAGCAGGTCGGAGCGTTTGAACCTGTGTCCACTTAGCCGCGAGCTGACTGTGTAATTGGAAATCCAGCCCGTGCTTACAGGGGCCCTCACAGAAGCGGGGTGGGGGCGGGGGAGCGGGGCGAGCGGCCGAGGAGCACATACCTGCGTTTAATCCCAGCTCAGCTGCCACAGCCCTCGGGCGCCTCTTCATCCCTCTGAGCCTCAGTTTCTTCATCTGTCAAATGGGGTCCATAACCCCTACCTCCCAAGGTGATGAGAAGATTTAAATGAGCCAAGCACGAGTGGGCCCACCCGTCGCCCAGCCGCCCCCTCAGGCTGGGGGCTAGCGGCCAATCGCATTAGGTCGGGCACAGGTGCTCCTCGCCCTTCCTTGCTGCCTCCGCGTTGGCTCCACCTCCA